TCTGTTGTGTTGCCCTTTATGGAAAATACTACTTTGAAGGGTGAGTCTTCAGGGAATACAGTAGAGGAAGGTGCATTTATTAGCCCAGCCAGACAACTTGAGGGTCAATAGGTTCCCAGGCTACATGTCCCCATGTGCCCAAGTCTTTATGGGGAGCCACTGGATCTGGGTTCTCTCTATAAGCAAATTGGGAGGAGGCCAAGTGAATTAATGCAGTGAGATGCTTACCAGGAAGCAAAAGATAAATATTCATGTCTGGATTTGTTTCCCATTGACTTTTTTAATTACATAAGGAAGAGATGATGACTGCAAAAGAATTCCCCTGCTCCTCCCACAGGATATATAATGCTTTGATACATGGCTTTTCCAGCCACAGGAATCATCCTGAAGTGAGTTCCTAGAAAGTCCCTGAGGAAGAGATCTTCATATTTTCTATGGCTAAAATGTCAGCTCTGAAGAACGGGATGGCTGAAATTCCCCCCATGAAGAGATGGAGCCTGTTCATTGTCCATGTGTCACTGAGCTCTGTGGTCTGAACTGATGTGAATGAATGGGGGGTCCAGCTCTGCTGTGAAGTGGAACTCACCCTTTAATCACTTTGTTCATCATCACCCTGGCATTTACTGTACAACTTGCAAAAATCTCTCTCTTAGGCCTTGTCTGCACAAGAACATTTTAGGGGGTTAACTTTAAATTTGTGGGACTAAACTGCCTTGCCATCTCACATATGGACGATTTCCTCTGTCCCCTACCCACTTTCAGTTATGTAGCATCTCACTCCCCATTCACATTTATTTGCCAGGGAGGGAATCAGCTCTCATTTGGCATCACATCCTTGAGACCACAGCTCAGTTTGGTGACAGGGTCAGATTTGTACACTGACAATTATGGCTTGCCTATATTTTCTTGGGAAGTCTGGTACTTTTTGGGCTTCTGGAGCCAGAAATGTGTGCAGGTGCAACAGAATAGCAGTGCCTGGATTGCTAGAGCCTACAGGGATTTATCAGATAAAATGAGAAGGCGGTTCACAAGATATCCAGAAAACGCCTGTGGAGAGGCAGGCTGGAAGTTTGCCAGTTGGATAACCATGTGCTGGACACTGTGGCCGATAGAGCACAGACCTAGCCAAGAGGACACTCTTCAGTACAACTAGGGTTTCTCTGACATGCCATACTGAGAGAAAATCATGGAAGTGCTCCTCAAAAACAGCCAGAGACAACATGGCTGTGCCAGGAGGGATCCTCTTCCTGGAAGGATGATGGGCTATGTTGCACCACAGCTGTGCAGAGCAAACACTGTTCTCAGGGCTGCCAGCTTGGATGGTGGTGAGTCTTTCATCGTCTGCACAGTGTTGATGCCTGCCTTACTCTGTTGTATGCTCCACTGAAGAACTGAATCTCCAGAACATTTTATTTCTGTTAGGCATCGTATTGCATAAGCACTGGCCATTGACAACACATTCATTCTTTTTCTTCTCCCTCTCCTTTTCTCGTCAGCCACCTGCTCCCACTTCTCCTCCACCCCTGTGCTCACACTCTGCTGTAGTCTGGCAGAGCCTGAAACCAGAAAAGGGAGATACTGGTTCCCTGTTTGATCAGTGCACTCTCTTTTTTTTAGCTGCTCTTTAGCTGCTACGAGGTAAATTGCCCGAATTAAGTTGACAGAGATATGTGCAGGATTGGCAAAACATTCTTGCCTATTTAAATTGCTTGTAATGAGAATATTGACTGCAAAAATATTTTACAGTGCAATTTGCACTTGTGTGCAGGCAAATAGAAGAGGTTTTTTGGTGGAGATACTCGGTTTCTTTGTTTTTATCATGCATCTGTGAAGCAATATAATTCTGCCGGGACTATCAAACAGGGGAGAGCTTGTTTCACTCCTTTACTCCTTACTACCCATACAGCTTTCCTGTTTGCCTATTGCCCTTTTGAATGAACTCTTCTCTGCCTTTGAATGACAGGGTTCAGGATAGGGCCCTCCAGCATCAGGCCAGCCTGCTGAGTACCCAGACGTTAGGTAACCTGGTTCCCTTCCTAGCTTACCTTCCTTCCCGACCAGCTGCAAACTAGACAAGGGTCTTCTATCAGATAGGGAGTAAAGGTGGTAAATCTCTTATTGTTGTTAAGCTCACACCAGTCTGTCAAGAGCAGATGGAGAAAAAAAAAGCTATTTTCTCGCCACCGGCACGAAGACTGTAACGGAGACAATAAAGGCTTGAGCTGTGTCTCTGCTGTCCTATTTCTTGATGTGCCATGCCCACACAGATGGGAGTGCTATCCTTGTATGAGTACCTGGTACACCCCGGCTACAAGCGAAGGAAGGTGGAGAGGACTAGACTGCATCCTAGCAGTGTCAGAAAGGTAATGGAGGAGGGTTGGGAACAGCCTGAGATGCTGTCAGGGAATTTCATGGACAAAGAAATGGCCAGACAGCCCAGTGCAAAAGATGAAGTGGAGACAGACTGTCCTGCTAGAGGGTATTTGTTGCTTCTGCTCAGGCCCCAGGACACTGGTCACAGCCTTCCTCCCCCTGGCTGTGATGGACACAACTGTTCCCTGTTGCTCATGCCAGGGGCAGGATAGGAGCCCTAGGGAGTTCAACAGACATGAGAGGCAGACTCCACCTTCACATCTTTTGCTTCACGACACAGAAACTTGCCGTGGTCTTTCCACCACCTCATGGAGATGACCTCAGGTGTCAAGTCATATGCCCCCAACCCCCAGCAAGAAATGGCTTCATTAATGAAGGAAGCAGAAGCTAACAGGGATCTCCCAGAACGGCTGGAGCAAAAGCAGTGATGGGAGCGCTCACAGTTGTCCCCAAAGCAGAAGTGGAACTCCTGAGGGCAGCAGGCTTGAGCATCCTGGCACCATGGACTTTTCCAGAGTTTCCCTGTTAGCACTGACAAAGCTATATGACGATAAACGAGGCCACAGAGAGCTGCTCCTTTGCCTAGGTCAGCAGTGAGGCCTGAGGTGCAGAGCAAAGAAAAGGTGAGTGAGTCTGATGAATGGTCAGAATTCAATTCAGGAACCTCACTGATGTAAATATATCAATTACTGCTTTGTTTATGTTGGATGAAGTACTTTCCTTTTTGAATTGTGACATTCACTTAGTGTTATGCTTTTCTCAAAATAAACACCCTGCTTTCTGGGCAGATATTCCATGGTACAATGATTTGCTTCCATGCTCTGAGCGTGCTGGCAATAGTAGTTACAATTGCTGTATCAACAGGCAATAAAATGGCGCCCTTTCCTTAGCTCTAGGTTTCCATTCCCATCTGCTTCCCCTAGCTGGAGGTGTACTTAGCGTTGGGGGAGGCCCTATCCCAGGTCGGACAGGATTGCTGCCTACCCAGGCGCTGCATTCTGCTAGCTAGCGTGGGGTCGACATCCTGTCATCCACAGGCTCATAAAAACACACCACGTATTCTGCCAGTGCCCAAGTAGTTACAGCTACAACTCATCTTGGCAGTGGTCTAGTTAACGACTAACTGAGATGGTCAGGGTGGCCAGGGTCCAGATGGCAGCAGCCATATCCTTTGCTTCAGTCCCCTGAGGGCAATGATCCGGCAGTGGCGTTCAGCCTCTGGAGGGCTAAAGTGAACTCCCCATGGGTTTCTAGGAGAGAAGCCTTTGCCCTCCTCAAGCTCTGGCTAAGGTCCTCCCTGATACACATTGTGCTCTGCCCCACCAGCCCCACCATGCTGCAGAAGCAGTGGTCCATCAAAGAAATCAGTTTTTGGAAAGTTCTTTCTCTAACTTGACTTAAATTCCCATCTCCATCACCTCAGTGCCACCAGAATTGGTAGTCAGACCCAATGACATATACAGTTGCTTTCTCAGCGGAGTTTGTATTTGATGGCTGCAAGGATCACAGCAGCTCTCTCCTTGTGGCCTGGTGCCACGAGTCTCTCCCCACATCAACAGACTGAGGAGAACGCCTGGGAGCAGACGCGTTTGAAGTCCCATCCCAGAAATTCAGAAGCTCTCAATAGCGTTTCCTCTCACAGTGGGACATTGTGCTCCAGCAGGGCCGCACAGGGTTGCTAAAGCACATTGCTGTGCAGCCTGGTGGAGCAGTGTGAGCTGTCTCAGACAGGCACATGTTTTGGGAAGAGTTGAGACCTGAGTCTTGGAAAGGTGAAAGACACTTACTGAATCCAAAAGGTTCTCCTAGGTAGACAAGCTGTAAAGTCCAGCAGGAGACAGTAGCTGGCTATTCAGCTGACAGTATCTGCGGCATGGAGTGGGGATGTTTGAACTGAGAGTGGGACAGTTCATTCCCAGTTCATCTGCTCTGTTCCTTGATTTGTTTCCAGGCTCTGGCACCCATGCTGCTGAGAGACGGTGTTTAGACTACAGTAGCTTTCCTGTTTGCTAACTGACCTTTCCAGCTTCATCCTCACTCCTTTCTGGTTGACTTTTGACTCTGTCCTCAGTTAATCTCTTGCCTTGCCCTTTCCTTTCCCCTTTTTAGCATATTTGCTATTCAGCAGGTTCACACAGTGATAAATCATTAACCAGCAGATATGTCACTCAGTCCCTTATTGGAACTCTGTAAAGATCTCCACTAAGTTTGTATATAAGGTGTAACATAGAGGCAGGGCTTCTGCTATAGCATCAAACAAGCCTTGACCTGTGCCTTAAATACAAATAATAATAGGAAAACATTTTAAAAAACCCACATCTGTTTAGAGGGGAGCCAGATAACCTCAGGCGCACTGGGGACAGCACGGTGCCTATGCCACCCTCTCATGGACAGTAAGGACACACTGAATAGTTGGGCAAACTTTAGAGCACTGCCACTGAGCCTAGCAACCACGTTTCTCAGCAGGGAGAGCTGGGAGGAGGCAACCACACCTCCATGCCAGCCCCACACTAGCCAACTGTGTGGAAGGTCTTGGCTTGGCTTGCTCCAGAGGTGGAACTTGGGCTCCGGCTGGCACAGCAGCAGGCTGAGAACAACTGATGTGGGCAGAGGAAGTGCAGGTGCCATGCTGGTGGGTGAAAAGCTGTCAATGCGCAGAGAAGACCCTCTCCGAGGTGGCTTCTCCTCCCTTCGGAGGTAGCTGAGAAGCAGCTGGCAGGAAGTGGAAGGCACCGAGTTGCTGGTGCCATTGCACCCCAGCAGGCGAGGAGGAGCTGGGAAAAGAGATAACTTCTCCTTGCAGGGTGCTTTCCTCCCGCTAACAAGGTAAGCAGGCAAATGACTCGATTATATACTGAAGAACAATGGAATAAATGTTTACAAGGTGCCTTTTTAAATGCCAAGAGTTATAAACCAGTGACTGGAAGAAAGCAGGACACAAGATTCCCTAGTGCCCAATTCAGGCAACGCTTAACTACTAGACTGTGAGGCGTTGGAAGGGCTCCAGTTCCTCTTCTGGCAACTTTCCCCCCAAATCACCAGCACAATTTTTCTTTTTCGTTCAAAAAAAAAAAAATCCTTAATTGTGTTCTGTGAAAGTGCCTTAAATAGCGAAGAGGGAGGAAAGGAGGAATAGTTTTGCATCGCATGCCTGTCTTTCCAGGATCTTCCAGCTGTTAACACGTGCCTAGGCCCTCCCCTGGTTACAGGAGTGTATATAATTAGCACAGTACAGCATGCATTGCTTTCCTCTTTGTGGGAGTGTCCCTCTCTGCACAGGACAGCACAACGCCTGAGTGCCACTTACGCTCTATTGTCAGTCTCAGCTGTCCCACGTGCCCGAGTCAGACCCCTAGACCTCACAGGTTTGCCTTAAAATGTACAAGCGCTCAGAAGAAGGATAATCAGGACGGAGGTATTTATTTGCCTTTCTGTTTTTAAGCTATTAACTTTCACATTATCAAGTTTTTCTCATCAGCATAGAGGTCTAGAAACTGACTTTATGTAAAAGCTGAAATTGCCATGTTAGAGCATGACCTCCGGAGCTGGAGTTGGCAAGAAGCCCATCTCCCTTCTGCCTAGATAGGGTAGCACTGGGAAAGTCCCTCTTCAGCTGCTGTGTGACACATCCACCTGTGACTGCAGAGGAGACGGAAGCAGAAAGAGATCCTTTGAACAGTGGCAGCTGCATGACCTTGTGTGTCATTCCCACTTGAGCGAGAGTGAATGGGGGGTTCCCGCCCCCTTGTCCCTCTGTGCCCCATTCGCTCCTGCTGGGTAAATTTGTGCTGGAAGCAGCACCACGCTATAGTCTGACCTGGTGCTCCTGGTAGCTGTTTCAACTCCAGGCAGAAAAGGATCAGAAGATCAATGCATTTTTCCAATAGGGTTTTGTGAGCCGGATGCCTTTGGCAGGGAGATGCAGTATGAGAGGTGTTAAATATCAGCACAGAGGTGAAAGAATGAGTGCTTGTAACCTAAACAGCAGGGAAGAATGAAAATACAGCTCAAGAGGCAAGGAGGGGAAAGAGGGGTAGATAAACATGTGGTCAGGCTCTTTGAATAGCTTAGCGACCCTAACAGCTCCTTTTGGGACATGGACTCTCCTATGCAAGCCTACCTGCATGGCACCTTGAGGGTTTGCTCATTTGGGGCTATCATGGCTGAACAAACTGTGGAAGGTGGAAATGTGCTCTGCGTGGCGTAGGGCATTTGGTGCCCCTCTCTCCTAATTCCCTCCAATCGCTGGCCATGTATTAGGAGTGCAGCTCAAGGTGATTTTTTTGCAGGCCGTTCCTTCCCTGGCCAATGAAATTCTTAGGTTAGCATAAGGGATTGTACCCACTTGGCTAAGGCAGCACAGCCAGGGCTGGCATCAGGTTTGAAACCCTCCAGAGATTTAGGACAGCAGAGAAGCACGAGCCTTGGAGACGGAAGGGATGACACTGGAGCTTCTGGGCATGTCTGCTGTTACAATGCTTGTCGGATCTGAACCTCTAATAACCGAGGAACGATCCGCAAAGAGCAGGACATGGAGATTGCTACAGCTGCCATGGCTGGACTGCACAGCCATCTCAGCTCTGCGGAGGAAAGGGAGCAGGGTGTGAATGTGGCAGTGGCAGTGGGAAAGTCTGCAGCTTTAAAAGTAGGCATGAGAGGAATTAAACATTTCACTTGTTTAAATCTTTTAGGAATGAAGTCTCATTTTCAAAAACTGATGAGCCTTAGAAACCCCTCTTGCTCAAAATATCCTCGATTTAAACCACTTCTAAGATGCAGATTGATGCTCCTAAGTTACTTTGTCACCCTTGGAAATGGTCTCTCTCTCTCTCTCTCTCTCTTCATTCCTCATGGCTGCTTGCATTCTCTGGGGGAAGGACTGAAATAAAGTTCTCAGATGCCCCCTAAACAGATCTAAGCCTTTTTGTACGGTTCCTCTTTTTCCTACGTTTCCTCCCAAATGTGGGTTTTCTACCAGTCCCCTTGCAAGAAAAAATGTTTCTCCTCCTTTCTGGGTCTCTCAGCATTAGAGTCATCTATTAATGTGTAGGCTGCAGTCATAGGAAATAACTAATTTATTCTGCTGCTGCTGCTGCTGCTGCTGCTGCTGCTGCTGCTGCTGGATAATTCGAAGAACATTCAAGAGCACCAGCCACGCGGTGGCAGATAATTAAAGACTTTGGAGCAGTTTTACTGGCGCAGCCATCCCCTTGTGCTGCTCCCATCATAAACTATAGTCCTTGCCTGCCTCCCCTTCCTACACTTGGGTGAGCTGACTTGGCTTTGCACATGATCAGGCATTGAGCAAAAATAACTGCATACCTTTGCGTGGCAGAAGTTCCTTCTATCAGGGTGACTCAGCAGGGGAGCCACGCATTCCTATGCAATGTCCTGGAACAGGCAGCCTCTTCTTTAGGCTGCATCGAGTTTGGGGTGGGACTTGGGCCTTTGGAGCAGGGTTGGTGCCAGAGAACGGCTTATCCTTAATTGCGTTTCCCCAATAGGATTCTGCTGCGGAACAAAGACCAGTGAATTCAAGGCGATGGAGCTGATTTCCAGGCAAGGTAGATTAGAGATCAGGGAACCTGAAACTGAGCATAAGTTCTCCAGAGATAGAGATTTCATCATCTCAGAAATAGCTCTGGCAAAGCACCAGTAGACAATGTAGCTAAGTTATTCTGTGGCTTTTATATTCTTTCATGTGGCTCCTGGATCGCTGAAGTCTAACCACAATTACAGTCATTTTATTTTAAGGAATCACACAATGGCATGGCCATCCACTCAGACATTTTGGGTGGCCCCTAAGAGGGGCATATTGGTGGCATTTTCGGTCATTGGCACTGTGTGATGGCAAGCTTCCTGCAGAACTATTGACTGCAAAGCCAATACTTTTTTTAAACACTTATAGTCAAACCTCTAGCTTCTTTTTTTTTTTTAACTTTCTATATTCACTATTTATATCCTCTGTTGCAGATGCTGTGGCAATGCTTTGAGGTCCTGCAGGGTAGGCAGCACTCGGGATGCGGGAGCATATGTTAAAAGCACTCATATCTGGAGGGTGTTTGAATGCCTGGAAGAAAGTGGGAAGTGTCTGGGAGTTCGTTCTTCAGAATTGCTTTACTATGGCGCCAGTCTGCCTGTTTGCAACATTTCACCCAGTTTTGCAAATCTGACAGCCCTCTGGCCAGCGTTACGTGTTCTGCCACAAAGTTTTGCGAAACATTTTCTGTCTTTTATCGAAACAACAACAGGGTAGATTTCTGCTCATGGTAAAAGTTCACAACACAGAATCAGCCAAAAAAAAAAAAAAGAAGTATTTTGTTGGGACTGCTCTCACCTTGCTGTTTAGGAAAGCTGCACTGATTGGCACCATCTGAGCATGTGGTGCCTTGGCGCTAATGTCACTCTGTGGGCTTCCCCTCATCCCTTAAATTTGGTGCTGACGCTCAGGGGACGCGCCCTGTCACTGCAGTCTGATGAAGTGAATAGCTCATGTTCTCCTGCCTCTCTGGCTGTGGCAATCTGGGCACTGCTGTGTTCCTGATGACCAGCCATCTCTGAACCTCTCAGCCAGATCTCTCCAGATTACAGACCTCCCTATATTTTTTTTTAGCCGTCTCTCAGTTTGCCAGCCAGATTTCCTCAACATGTGTTTGCACACATTGGCAGATGTCCTCCTGACTGCTGGTCACTTGTACGCTGATATGGACGTGAACATGGTAAGGTGTAACCACCTATCTCCCAGGCTCTCTTTCCCCTTGATCTCAGTGTGATCTCAGTTTCGTTTCCACTAGATGTCATGGGAAGAAGTGGAGAAAGGAGAGGACAACAGAGGTGAAGCTTGGCTGTTATTCAAAGGAACAGCCCACACGTGAGTTACGCACCATCAGAGACAAATTGTGCCCTTGAGACCAATGTGCTGACTCTTTTATCACCTAGCCACTCTGACCTTCCTGATTCTCCCCTTCCCACACTCAGTCGCCATGCTGTGATTTATATACTTGCTCCATTTTGTCTGTCTGTTCTCTGCGACAGGTTTGTGCAGCTGATGCGGAGCTTAGTACAGCAAGGGCCTAATCTTTACCTCGTGATCCCCAAGTGTTCCTGAAAAATAATAATGGCAGTGTTAATAAACTTCATGGCACTTAGGAGCAGGTAGAGGTAGATCTGGTTCTTGCAGGGTATAAACCAGCCCTAGAGAGGTTGATTATGGAAGAAGTCGTGGCCTCCATCTTCAGGTACCCCACTGATGCTCTTCATTCATCAGACCACTTGCTTTAGTTTCCTCAGTACTCCAAAGAGTTAGAGAGCCTCCTTCAGACTGCCCAAACTAAACTCCCCCTTGGAACTAAAGGCTAAAGAAGTGTCAAGCATAAGGGCACCTGAGGGCCCTGAAGCTTTTAGGCCCTCAATGATCGATCCTATTCCTGTTAACTGGTTTCCACTCTCCCACAGAACTGTAGCATTTCTGCAGGGAGAAGAGGTGATATTTTTGTCCCCGTCTAACACCAAAAGCAAGTGCTGTTAATAAGCAAGCGAAACATGGACCTTTTTTTTCCAGCAAGGCCACATTTGCTTTCTCAGTGGATAGAGCTGCTACTCTGCCTTTGCCTTTGCATGGAGTGCAGAGAGGTTTGTGGGTAAGGCCACATTAGAGGCAGGTCTCCTGCAGAGGTGGTCTCAGGGGCCCACTGTGCTATGCTGGGACATTGAGAGGGATCTGAAAGAAGCCCATGAAAAGGAGAGAGAAGATTTAAATAGCTTTTATTCAATTTCCTTGTTTTTCTTTTTTCTCCTTCTTGAAAGAAAGCCCTTTTCTCTTTTGCCTTATTGAAAACACACCCACATCAGGGTCTCTGAAATCAGGCAGGGCTGTGCTTGGCAGGCCCCATGGGGAAGCAGCATGCACTCCAGCAGGATTGCTCCTCTGGTGCATTTTGTGGTTCTCCATCCCCCCTTCTTCTGGTCAGCGTCTCACATTCTCCAGGTACCCAATGGCACTTTGGACTCCTTGGCTGACTCTGCCCCTCTCTGCTAGGGGCTGATGGATGGCCAGCAGCCATGAGGTGGGTGAAGCTCTAATTCTACCCTCTAACCCCTGCTAACATGCTAACAGGCCATTCCAAATCCCCCCCCCCATCCCTCTTAAGCCTCTTTGAATACATTAAATTTCCACCAAGCAGGGCACACTGAAGTGGTCTCCCTCTCTGCAGGGCTACAGGAGGTACCAAGTGACTGTAAAACAGTGCCTGAGATAGTGCTTATAACCCCAATACAGTCCCCCTCATTTTGGGCATTAGATCTATAACAGAAAGGCAGAGAGCTGTTGCACAGTCCAGTCACATCCCATTCTTCCCCTCCTCTACGGGTGAACGTTGGAGGTTCGTCTTCTTCCATCCCTGTACCTTGGTCTTTGCAGGGAGGCTGAGCGGCCTAGTGGCTAAAAGCTGTCTATGGGAGAGGGCAGCAGATCTGTTAGGACATCATGCGTTTACCTGCAGACAGGGAACCACACTCCTCTTGCTACATGTGGAACTGAATGCATTTATTCGTTTGCAGGCTCATCTCTTGAAAAAATTGGTTTCTGTCAAATAACAAACCTCAGAGCAAGCCAGCCTGGGCAAAGGCCTCAGATGATGATAGACGGCATTCTTCTGCCATGCAAAGAAGTAAGCAGTGGCCAAAAGCCATCAAGGCTCTGCTGAATCTCTGATGAATGTCATTCCAGCTTAACATGGTGTCTGGAGCAAGACAAGTTGGCTGTTTGCAGCTGGTACAGGAACCATCCCTGTATGCCAATGCAGCGGATGGTGCGCTACCTCCATACCTCTAATTTGGGTGGTGAATGCAATGCAGTTGAGAAAGATTCTGCATCTTCTCTCGGCTGTGTCAGTGAACAGCTGGAGGCAAAAATTGCGTTCGTTCTTTTAGGGGGTCAGCTGGAATTTGAGGTCAGCAAGTGTCCACTGGGAGCTCTCCAGCAGTTTAATTCTTTGAAGACCAGCTGGAAAGGTAGGCTCTGGTCCTATGATGAACATCTGGGAGGAACTCACAGCTGGAGCAGGATGTGGGATCCTGGAGCTTCAGTGCTTTTATGTAGCGAGTGAGACGGTTATATAGCTCCTGCTCCAATGAATTAGTACCACGCAGCTAGCTGTTGTTTTGGCACTGCTTTACCCCAGCAATAGCTGTGAGTGGGAATTATTCAGATATACTGAGGTGTACACAATCTCTTCCTGAAGAAGGAAAGAAACTAGGTGTCTAGTCTTGATCTTCCCTCAGAATGGGGACCAGCCCAAACACGGATCTGAAAGTAAACTGAGGGTGGCTCAATTGAGATAAGGCATTTATGAGGCTTATTAGTAAAGAGAGTGTCCAGAGGGACAGAGAAAGCACTATCTGCTGGTACCTGTCTGACTCCTGCCTAAACAGATGTATTTATTTGTAAATGTAGATGTATTTGTAAATTTATTTAGATATGTTAATATTCATTGCTGGAAGGAAAACAACCAAATCCGAAAGTTCAGTCAGTCCCTGCTGCAGGGAAAGGGTTCGTGTAAGAGGAATTGGAAGACAATTCATGCTGCCAAGCAAAGACGAAAGGATTTTACAAACAGAGATGGAGAAAACAAGTAGTATTGGAGAGCTAATCCATGCATAAAAGAGATCGAGCCTGAAGTTATGGAGAGTCCCCATTGCTTCCTTAAAAACATAAGGACAAAACATAAAGTGTGACTGAATAGGAGGTAAGGCAGAAAACAAGAACTCGTGACGATTGCCAGCAGACAGGGGAGAAAAAAATCTCACTGTACTTAAACCAGCTTGAATTTCATGCTCATCCCAATGTCCTGCTACAAAGGGATAAGCTTGCAAAAATCCCAGAGCATGCTCCCACCTCTTTGGGTCTATGCCAGAATGTGAAGTTCATTTTCAAAGGCAAAGGTGACGCAGAGACATTTGACAGGACTCATACTTCTAAATCACGTGCGTGCTTCTGTAAACTTTACTTCTGGGTATGCTTAATATCTTCACTATTAATCGGGTTGCGGGGAGTTAAAAGCCTATTAATGGCATTAACAGATGCTATTTAACTAGGCTAAATTGCAAGTGCAAGTCTGGACAGAGAACAATACAATGTGACTTTGGAGGAGCAGAAAGCCAGCCAAAAAAATTGCATTTTCATCTTGGGGAAAAAAAAAAGCAAACAAACATCAGTTAATCAACCCAAAATACACAATCTCTGAGAAGAGAAAAAAATCCCTGACACACGGGATATTAAAAGAACTCGCAAGTGTATTGGTTACAGCGAGATGAGGGGCTCAATAACGGGAGGGTAATAGGTGGGCCAATACATGGAGCAGATTTGATAAGATCTTTGCATGCAATACAGCTATGAGGATGACCAGTGGAGTTTGGGCTTGCTGGCATAAAGATCACACAAAATAGAACGAGGAAGCAATAATCTTGTTCTGAAATCAGTGGAATACCAGGCCAGGCAGACAGTGATAATCTGGATGGTGCGCAGAGCAAAGCAATAGCAATGACTGAGGGGCTGGACGAACTGATCTAAACCTCTTCAGGTTTTTAAAGACTACAGTGGAAGAATGACCCAAGCCTGCTTGGTCTGGCGACCTATTGGCTGGCTGTTTGTTTGTGGGTGCATGTTAATACCTGTTCACACTTACTGGTCTCTGAGCAGCCAGGACAACGAATCTTTAACACAGTGCTTGTGTGTATGTGAAGGTATAATGGGGAATGAAATGGAGTTAAGGGAAAATTAAGCCTAAATATCATGGGGAAAAATTAAACAGAGAGATGCACAAGTGAGATGCACAAGAATAGTGAGATCCCCAAGCTCTTTGCTTGGGGCTTTCAAAAGTAGATAATGGCAAGTGTCCTATAGAGTCCAATTCTATATCATCACAGATGACCGCTGGATAATCTAGTAATTCTTTTCTTAACGTGTTAGCTGCATAGTGTCTCAGCTGGATGGGCATTCATTTTTATATTCCCAGTGTCCTTACTGCATCTGAAGATGACATTAAAAAAACATTTAGGTTATGAACATGAAATGCTCAGAAATAAGAGATGCTAAAGCAGTGATCGCTCTTGATGCCTTAATTCAACCTTCTATGTTCATCTGCACTGTATCACAATCACAGAATCGATTCTGCATAGGATAGACTATGTTTACTGGGTAATTATTCAGTATTTCTTCTTACCCTCATCACTTGACCTCAGACCTTATTTACTAAACACCACTTCATTCTGCCTAGAACACAAACCGATTGCATTTCCTCATGGACCTTTCTATGATACTTTCACTCTAAGTCTGAGTTGTTCACAAACATGAACAAATTTCCCCTTGCCACAGACCTTACGAAAAAGGGGAAGGAGTTAGTACCACCTCTTTTTTACAAAAGTGGAATGCAGATAAAGAGATTAAAGTTGGGGATCACTGACTCTGGCTGCTCACTTTAGAGCTATACAAGTCTGCTTTTTTGGAATGACTTTTTTCTTCAGCGGTGTATATGTTTAGATGTTGGCGTGTTACTAAAATCTGCAGAGGATTTACCCTCCAAGCAACTATTGTGAAAGACCAAGTTGCAGATATAAAACAAAGCCAATTGTTTTCTGTGAATGTGAGAGCTGGACGCTTACTGAGAGAAAAGGACAAGAAAATGAAAAATAAAAGTGTTGAGAGGAACAGAGGAACAGGGAGGAGAGCAGGGAGGGAGAATGGTGTGTGGACAAGAAAGTTTAATATTGTGAAAGGTTCATGAACAAACAAATACTGTAAACAAAATAAGCTCTTGAGAACCTCTTTGGGCAGAACATGGGGCTGAGAAGACAGAACAAAGAGCAGCTAGACAGCCCCTGGAATATCCCATCAATAGGTTTTGATACTAAAGTCAGCCAAGGAGAAGTGGGCAGAGAATCACGGGCAAACTTACAATGGCTTGACACGAACCACCTTGAGGGGCAAAGTACATCCTTGGCTGAAGAGGACGGGAGAGTGGAGCAGGGAATTTGTAAGAGTGGCCAGGATTTCTTGAACTGCTAGCACCACGGACTCCCATAAGTTTACACTGAAGGCACGGCTCCCAGCAACTTTGCTTACAATGTAGAACACTCAGCGCTTTTGCCAGTCTGGCCCCAGGTGTCTCTAGCTTGGCAAACAGAATAGGAGCTAGTGGCCAACTGTGAAAATGCTTATTTATGTGACTTGCCAGCAGCACGTGGGGACTCAGTGGCAGGAGCAGGGCAAGGCAGCGTTCGCTGCATTAATGACCAGACCGTCTCTTCTCCACCTCCAATCTCTTTCTTCATTTCCTAAACACCCCTCCAGCTTGGCAATAAAGGAGGCAGGGGTCTCGTGGGAAAAATCCAACAAAACACTATGTGAGCATGTAATTAAAGGCTGTACTATAATGCACAGGCACAAAGGAGATGATTTAATGTTGTATGGAGAGCCTTTTGACCTGCATTTCCTCACTCTGTTGTGCAGTCCTACTGCTCCTTTAACATAGTTCTCCATATAACATTTCCTAGGCTTATTGGGGGGTGGGATCGCAAGAGAATTTCAATCCTTTCACCGTTACCCATTAGAGACTGTACAGTGTGAAGCCATGCTGATCCTCGCATGGACCATCACAGGAGGCAGACCTGGTGATCTGCAGGCCTCTGTCTCCTGAGGTGACCAGGAGGGACGTCAGGCTACCGGCTCTGCAGACCAGAGGGATGGGACGCCTGCCAGACTTGTTCTCAGAGACTGGGCAAACGACTGGCATTGTCGTTTATGGTATCAGACTCTGCAAAGGAGAATTTTCTAATGGTTTTAATCCTCCGGGTCTATCGCTTAGATCCTGACTGATGTACCCCCACGTGCCGTGGTGCTCCCTGTCTCTGACTTGCCCTTTCCCTTTCTCACACCCATCTTCTTTCTCTACTGCCCAGCTCGGGCTGAAGCCTCATGTTTTCCTCCTATCCCCCATCTTCTTCCAGCTTCTGTCTCCGCTTTCTGTCTGCCTTCAACCCGGAGCGCAGAGGCAACCCACTTGGCCCTTGAT